TTTCTATTAACACCGATGATCGAGCCAAATAGTATTGTCGGCAAAGACAAGGGAGAATGGAATGGCCATTTCTGGCTTATTAGCCATTGTGAGCCAGTCATACCCAGACCACAGTGGTGCCCCACTCGAGCCTCGAGCTCGCGACCTTTTTGATCGAAGTCAAATATTCTAACCACTGGGCCACGAGCTCGTTGTCTAGCCGGTTTAGGTCAACGTGTATGTTGACACTCATCGACACTCTCCTAAACAACGACCTCTCCGCTCAATGGCTAGGGAGTTTGACTCTGATCAAAAAGGTCGCGAGTTCGAGGCTCAGGTGGGACACCACGTGTGTCTGGGTATGACTGGCTGACGACGGCTAATATGCCAAAAATGGCCATTAAATCTCCCATGTCACTGTTGGCAGTACTATCTGCCTATACTACCAGCTGTTACAGCTGTCAGGGCCTCTGGTGGGGCCGAAACCACAGCGGGGCAGATGAATCCCCTTGGCGGTCAGGTGAATTTTTATCAGCAAGTGCATCGAGCCAGAACGTGATATGCAGATCAATCCTGCAACCAACGTGCTTAATCCTACAGCCTGGCCAGACTTACACCCTGATAAACCTTTGTGTGCAAACTAAGGACGGAGGACTACGTGGATTAAGCGACGAAAGGGGGATTTTCGACGAAGATTACAGACGCAGGATCAGAATGCAACTTACCATTGCCTAAAATACTACAGTGGATCTTTTGCCAGAAAATGACAATTTCTCTCCGTACATTTTTTCGGGCGTGGGGCCAACTAAAGTCTATATTTCAAATACCTTTTTTCAGACCACAGCCTTTATACCTTATTTGACAGTGTCACATTAGGTGGTCTAGTAAGCCGATAGTGAGCGTGTGTAGCATTTATTTACAGGGCAAGGTAGGAGGAGGAAAGGAACATGCTAGTTGCACCCTGGTTCAGTCAGTGGACGCTGCTCGCGGAGCCGATATCAAACAGTTCGAAGTCTTATAGGGTTGATC